GGTATTCCCTCCCCTTCAAACTGAAAAGTAGGGTTGTGTGTAAGGTGTTTCCCAAATGAACGGGGCCAACTTTATTACAGCATATGTGTGTGGTGTGTGGGGGCTTGGGGGATTAGTGTCGACATCGTCAATTTTGTGATTAAGATACATGGGTCACTTTGTGGAGTACCCCATTTTGGCGACTGAATACAGATAGGTCGCCACACAGCACACATTGCACACATGACTAACAGCGTCCCGGTCGAGAGGGGAGGGGGGGGGGGGAGGAGCACGGCTTTTCCTTCTAGTGGAGACAGTCTTGAGACTATCTAAAAGTCCGTGAGGTCCACTCCAAACGCGAGAGAGCGCACTCCTGTGTGTGTCAGGTCTATCAGAGCGCACGCCGGAGCGCCAGATGTTTCATCACCGCAACCCGAACCCACTCGCTCTGCATTTCAAAATCATAGAACTGTTTTCCTATGACAACTTTATTTAACCCCCACCCTCTCCACATTTTTCTGTGGCACAGTAAAGGTTCCCCCACAATGAGCGTTCGGTTGAGGTCTCTGCCTGAGGGCGGGCCGCCAACTCCACACAGCTGCTTGGCGGGTTGGCCTACCCGGCGTGTCGCAGGCGCTATCTCAGCGTATCCTAGCCTCCCCCGTCAGAACTACTCATGCGCAGGGGCGTATTAAGGGGGTCGGAGAGGGGTGGCGGTGTATCAAAAGTTGCCTACATACAGGGGTTTGTATGTCAAATTGCCCACCTTCAGTGGACCGGGGGGGGGGGGACAGGTCAATGATCGCCCCCCCCCCCAAAAAAAAAATGGGGGCGATCCCCCCGCCCCCTCCCCTCCATACGCGCCTGCTCATGCGCCCACTCCTTCAACTTCAATGAGGGTTAAGACGTCAGTTCACATGAACTTAAACCACCGGTAAGTTAAAGTGGGACGTCATTCCGCGAGCGGACCATCCCCTGCACCCCAGCTAGTTCTGAACACGTTCGTGGTTTCACGGGGTCCTGTTCTGTTCGCCGTCTCCTTTGTTTTAGCTCGGGCTAGCAAACAGACCTTCCCGCTAATCACCATCGACTAGCATACCTCATACCTCATACCCTCTGATTGGCAATTTAAAAATCAGAAAAAATATGTATGTGGGGGCGTGGCCGACAGATATGTTTAACATTTGCAAGCCCCCAACGACCCTTGCTAAATGACATGGTCATAGGTTCGGTGGGTTTTTGTGTTAGTTTGGTCTCGCTTAACGCATTATGAACCTCTCGCGCTTGTTTCAGGTTGATTTTACAAAAGACCGGTAACGATGTTGCCGATGGTAGTAGAAGTAAGAATTTGTTGATGACAGGTACTTACAGCACATGCCCACTATTTCAAGGATTTTTCCTTCATCCCACACATTTAAGCATAGTTGAATTGATCAGAGGGTGTGAGTTGAGCATAGTCATAGGTCTTGCTATACTCTCCAACTACCTTGCATGATGCCAGATCACCAGAGC